CTGAGGAAGGCTTTCTTATCTCTCTTTGCTATTCTTTGGAACTCTGCATTCAAATGGGTATATCTTTCCTTTTCTCCTTTGCTTTTCGCTTCCCTTCTTTTCACAGCTATTTGTAAGGCCTCCTCAGACAGCCATTTTGTTTTTTTGCATTTCTTTTTCTTGGGGATGGTCTTGACTCCTGTCTCCTGTACAATGTCACGAACCTCCATCCATAGTTAATCAGGCATTCTGGCTATCAGATCTAGTCCCTTAAACCTATTTGTCACTTCCATTGTAAAATCATAAGGGCTTTGATTTAGGTCATACCTGAGTGGTCTAGTAGTTTTCCCTACTTTCTTCAATTTCAGTCTGAATTTGGCAATAAGGAGTCGATGATCTGAGCCACAGTCAGCTCCCGGTCTTGTTTTTGCTGATGGGATAGAACTTCTCCATCTTTGGCTACAAAGAATATAATCAATCTGATTTCAGTGTTGACCATCTGGTGATGTCCATGTGTAGAGCCTTTTCTTGTGTTGTTAGAAGAAGGTGTTTGCTCTGACCAGTGCATTCTCTTGGCAAAATTATATTAGCCTTTGCCCTGCTTCATTCTGTATTCCAAGGCCAAATTTGCTTGTTACTCCAGGTATTTCTTGACTTCCTACTTTTGTATTCAAGTTCCCTATAACGAAAAGGACATCATTTTTGGGTGTTAGTTCTAAAAGGTCTTGTAGGTCTTCATAGAACCATTCAACTTCAGTTTCTTCAGCATTACTGGTCAGGGCATAGACTTGGATTACCATGATATTGAATGGTTTGCCTTGGAAATGAACAGAGATCATTCTGTCATTTTTGAGATTGCATCCAAGTACAGTATTTCAGACTCTGTTGTTGACTATGATGGCTACTCCATTTCTTCTAAGGGATTCATGCCCACAGCAGTAGATACAATGTTCATCTGAATAAAATTCACCCATTCCAGTCCATCTTAGTTCGCTGATTCCTAGAATGTTGACGTTCACTCTTGCCATCACCTGTTTGACAACTGCCAATTTGCCTTGATTCATGAACCTAACTTTCCAGGTTCCTATGCAATATTTCTCTTTACAGCATTGGACCTTGCTGCTATCACCCTTCTCCAGAGGAACTTCCAATCCCAGGAATCGAACCCAGGACTCCTGCATTGCAGGCAGATTCTTTATAGTCTGAGCCGCCAGAGAACCCCATGTGAAGAGGGGCATAGGATCCTGAGGTTTTTTTACTTTATTACTGACTCCAGAGAATTCTCAGACACTCCACTGGGCCTAATGGGCTGACAGAAAGGCCACCAGCAGGGACACATTTAAAGCACGCTAGAGCTATGCTTGACCGGGACTCTGTGAGTTGACTAGTCAAGTCTTTGCCAGAATAGAAACGTCACACCCATGGGTAAGTGCCTCTTCTCTCTGGCTGTTGTAATGACAGCAGGAACCTTCCTCTATCTGGACATTCCCTCCCTTCTTTCAAGCTACCCCATAAAGACTCCTCCCGCAGCAACCTGCTGGGTGCCAAGCAGGTAATAGTGTTGGGGCGCCATACCTATACTTTGGAGTTTAACGGAGCATACTTAAGTACACTCAACTGGAAAAGAGGCAAGAGGACAGCTCAGTTATACAGCCTTCTGAATAATCATGTACTTTTACTGGCAAAATCTTGAAATGAACTGGTTACATATTAAAATGAATATTCATGACAGCCAAGCTAAATTCCAAATGTTACCTGGAGGTCTCTTAAATACTGTACTCTTAGAGTAGGAGCGTTTAGTATTCGCTAGTAAATAAATGCCAAAATAAAGTGACTAGCATGCTACAATTGCATAAATACCAAAGAGTTCATAAGTGAAAAAGTGAAGTCGCTCAGTCGTGTCTGACTCTTAGCAACCCCATGGACCGCAGCCTACCAGGCTCCTCCATCCATGGGATTTTCCAGGCAAGAGTACTGGAGTGGGGTGCCACTGCCTTCTCCATATACAAAGGGTAAATCAGGACATTTGAGCCTATGAAATAAGAAATCAGAATCCCAAACCAGACTCGATATATAGATCATACTGAGTTGCTTAAAAACAGAATTATTTTATCATTTCATTCAGTCCTGGTCTTCCAATGTATTTAAACTAACCAGTAACCTTAATAAACTCAGAATAAATCAAAGATAAAGAGGCCCAAAGTTGGTACCTTCATGTACATATTTCCCACACCAAGTTTCTAATGGAAGTTAGCCCTTGAAATACAGACTGACAGATACACATGAATAACAGCAGTTTCTATATCAGATATTTACAATTTTCACATAGCATAATTAATTTGTCCTCTAAAAATTCTAGGAGTCAGAGTACAGATTTAAGAAATTAATATAAAATAATTCCTGATTTTTTAAAGTAAGATGTCCTGAACCTAGGAAATGCATAACTAAAGATAAATTCTGAAAACAAGCATCGTATTGGAGGAGAGAGAATTGAAGTTGTAAAGTAAATTATATGGAACCATTCTGTGGGATATGGAGACAAAATACTGGGCTTGTTGGAAACACATGGATCCATAGATTATGCTTAATCAGACAGCTAATGTGCCCTTGATAGGCATCTTATTTTAGCTTGTTGTCTCTAATTGTAGGTGATACATCTCTAGTCACATGTGTCCTTTCTAAATAGTAATTAAACTTTTACTTCTCCACTCAAAAGAGAATGATTTGACACCATTAAAAATCAATTTTTACTCATCTCAGCTTTAATCTCCTTTTGGTGTCAATGATACTTTAGATAATAAAATCAGGATTTCTTTTTAAAGGTGAGAAACACTTTGTTGAAATATGGGATTTAGGGAATAAAAAATCTTCTGTAAGGTAGTTTTAATGGCAAGACATACCAGCCTTCAAAGACTCAATAACAGAATAAAAATCATAGCTTGCAATTATATTGTAAATCACATCATAAAACTTCCAGAGAACTATTTTATGAATAACTCACTATCAATCATGAATTACATCAGAGATTTCTGGCATCTTCACTGTAGATTATTTGGAAAGGGCAAAGAGAAAGCACTATGCCAAATGGATATTGACAGTCAACCCAGATTAGAAGTTCCCAGACGTGGCTTTGCATTCAAGTCACATGTGGTGCTTCTATAAAAACTGTTAACAGGGTCTATCCCAGAGATACTCACAAAGTGGCTCCAAAGTGAGGTCTCAGATTCTGTGAATTGATTTTTATTTTATTTTTTTTTTTAGAAATTAACCATATTATGTGTATAATATATGCAGCTAGATTCCAGAGCCATTAGCTAGAAGATCCCAATAAATGTGCAGGAGGAGCTGAGTATATAAATCTCAACACCTTTTGGTAGCAATGAAGATTATGGAGAACCAGAGGACGTGGACTTGCTTAGCTCTACACATGGACTGGTAAAGTGAAGCTCTTACTTTCCCCAACACTAGTTTCAAGACCACAAATGATTCCTAGACAGACAGTGAGGAATTGGGAACTCTCAGTTGTGAGAGAGTATGTGGAACGCAGGATCTTTAGTTGCAGCATGTGGAATCTATTTTTTTGTTGTTGGGGCATGCAGGATCTTTAGTTGTGACATGCAAACCCTTAGTTGAGGCATGTGGGATCTAGTTCCCTGACCAGGGATTGGACCCAGGCCCCTGGCACTGGGAGGACAGGCTTAGCACCTGGACCACCAGGGGAGTTTCAAGAATGTACCATTATTGAAAAAAAACTACTCACTTCAGTTTTGACTATTGCCACCATGATTCAACAAGGTTGAATTTAAATAAAATCCACCCTCATAATATCACAACTAGGTTAAAGACCAAGGGAAAGACATGGATGGCTGACATTCTGGAACCTTACTTTCTTGGATTGCAAATCAAAAGCAATTGCGTTCATTTGAGTGAATCTGGATTTGTGGTTCCAGGTAATTTCATCACAATACTACACCATGTGCTTCACTTGTCAGGCTGGGACCTGTGGTACAACAGCTACTGAAGCATATGAATCAGAATTCACTTGCCATCTCAGCTGTCAATCAAAGGAGCCCTCACTGGCAATAATGAGTACAATAGGCAGAATGAGCGCCCAAGCACTTTGCACAAAACATCACAGGGTACTGAGAGAAGAGGAGGGGGAGTGTGGAAAAGACAAGAGAGATATCAAGAAAGGAGACAGTTGTATAGGCTCCACATCGCAAATTCCATCCTTAATGGCCATAAGAAATGGCAGAATAACCTTTTCCTGAAGGTGAAAATTAGCATTATTTTTTGTCCACAGGAAAGAAAAAATTAGGAAAACTACAGGGATGATGGCACCAATGTAGGAACATAAGCTTTTGTTTATTTCTTATCATACTAAGAGATACAGCTCTTGAATTGTGGCACCCTATTCTTAGCCATACAGACACAGAACCATTTCAAAGACAGAGAAAACAGACTTTGCTGAGGTTCTTCACAAAATTCAGCTTAAGAATTTAGGAGCAAAAAGAAAAATGAACACATTTCCTAAGATGGATAATTGTGCTACATTTACCTTATTTAATATTTTGTGGGCAATCTGATGTGAAATTAAAATGTGATCTGGCTTTTAAATAATGGGTGAAGAAAAAAGTCTATCAGTCCTATAATTTAGATCTCATTAGTGAGAAAGCAAGAGAAATGTTAAAATCAACCTTCGGTAAGCTCCAAGCTTCATTAGCATGTATAGCTCCTTCCACTGAAAATTTGTTCTCTGGTGTCAGGTGTTAAGTTATTAATGCCAAATTTCTACCCCAAAAGGGTGCTTGTAACAGATTTCAGTCAAGGCTGAATAACTGCTCAAAGACAAATTCTAATTTAGTGAGTGATGCTAATTAACTTCCTCAATAAAAAATAATTTTATTATTGCTTATGGGTCATAGACTACAGAGTACAGAGAGCATATGTGAATTTCGTGCAGTTAGTCTCTTAGACTTTTTGGATGTGCAATGTAGTTTTTAGCCACATGAAGCAAATATTTTTGACATATGTTCTTTTATTTTCTATATTATAAAAATGCCATATAAGTAAATTAATGGTGAAGGTCTGTTATGGGTTGAACCACTTTTCTTCCACATTCCTGTGTTGAAGTCCTTAACCCCCGCGCACCTTAAAGTGTAATGGTATTTGGAGATATGTTCTCCACAAGAGGTGATCAAGTGAAAGTGAAGCCACGAGGGAAGGTTAATTCAATAGGAATGTTGACATAAGAAGGGAAAATTTGATCACAGACATGTATGGAGAGAAGATGATGTGAAGATAAAGAGAATGAGATTTCGATCTTACAGCCCTCCAGAACAAATCAATCTTATAGACACATTGATCCCATACTTTTAGTCTCCGGAACTGTGAGACAATACATGTTTGCTATTTAAGTCCTCTGGTTGGTGGCACTTTGTCATTGGCAGCCGCAGGAAATGAATACAAGGTCTAAAATTCAAAGGTAAAATATATACAATTAACCAGACTCTTCAAATATCTATATATGAGGTGCACATAATGTTAAGCATTTTAATAGATATTCTTCAACTTTCATCCTGATGTTCAGAATTATACAAATACAACTAATGTTTTATTATGGTGCCAAATTATTCTCTCACACACAATGCTGCCCACCCTCCCTCCTTTATTTGGGCCCTTCAGTCCATCAGTTGAGCACCTACAACGTGGCAGAAGAGCTCATCAGGCCCCTGACTGTGCTTTTGTCTTTTTTCTTGATATAATGACTCAGTTCTAAAGTCCTGAGGTATTCAGTTTTGATAAATACAGAAGAATCTTGGGTCCCTCTGCCTGGCTTTCAGAGAATGAATGACAGTGGGGAATTACCTGAAATGTGTCAGGGCATAGTCTTTCAGATTCATAACTTCTTCAGACTCTTAGATCCCAGGGAGTTTGGCCTCCTTATTTTTGCCCTGAAATGTGGGTTTATATGCCATATTGACAGATCATAGTGGTAAATAAAGGCAACTAACAGACTTCACTTTCTTAAAGTCAATCACAAGGTACCACAAACTGAGACAAATAACTAGGCTAGCAGCCTCAGTTGGTTACCTTGATACAAATTTCAACCAATGTTCTATTAAAATATCCTCCTGGTATGTTAATCTTGTTTTCAGTGCTGAGCATTCCTTGAAAGAGTAAAACATCATGTTTAATATTTCTTCACATAATGAGCTTGAGAGGATTTGTTAAAAATTAATCACTTGCATAATGAATTAGGTAACACAGAAGATCAAGGAAGTAATAAAAAATTAAGCATGTGGATTTTGTATTTATTTTAAAATAATCTTGTCTATTCAACAAAAATGTAATGATGTCTGCTTTTTGCCAGGTACTCAACCATCAACGGTGAGCAAACAGTCAAGGTATGCCCTTATTTGAGCTACATTCTTTGAGGAAAGCAGGCAATAACCAAATAAATATTCAAAATGTATAAAATTTATAAATTAATTTGGATTGTGCTATTGATGACTTTTATATTTCTCTCAGCAATCTTGATTCCAGCCTGTGCTTCATCCAGCCTGGTATTTT